GAGAGAGTGTGCTGAAGCTGCCTTGGAGACCACCCGTGTTTTCTGTTCTCTTCTAGAAGCACCAACATACTTCCGAGCAACAAATAACTTCATATTTTCCATCTTTTCTAGAAATGGGTTCAATTATGCATGGCAGCAATTTCCAGCTCTTTACCAAACTGCTGATTCCTTTTCATCCTGGGCACATAGATCACCTTTCCCAAGATCCCTTGCAACATAACTATGGCCACGCAGCTGTGCAATAAAATTGAATGGATGTGTGCCTTCTCCTGGTCAAGACTTTTAAGAAGCAGTTGTGCCCCTTCCACACATGCTTTTTGTATCTGCAGGGTGTAAATAGTAAAGAGTCTCAGCTAAGGGAGGAGCGAGAAGTGAAAGACAAGGTTCCATGAAATTCTGTGTGGAAGAAAACTGCCCATCAACCAGGAACCCACGGTGGACTGTTATGTGAGTCATTATATATTTTGGGGGCTATGTGGCACTGGAGTCAGGACAACACTAGCTAATGCAACCAGTATATTGTGTTTAATAATATTAAATCTCTTGAATGTTAGAATCCTAAACCTTGCTCTTAGAAAATTCCAAGAACTAGTAGAAAGGGAAAGAAAGCAGGAAGAGATAATTATGTGAATAACTGCGAAGATTTACTACATACATAACCATACATTAAGTTATTATGTATACTATCTTATTTGATTTTTATTGTGCCTCACAACAACTTTAGGCGATACTAGTATTATTATCTTCTGTTAATCAATGTGGAAACTGAGGCAGAGATGCTGTACTCATAAAGTGAAGGAGTCATGATTCAAATCTGTTGACTCCATAGCCCATGTTGTGGAGTAACAACCACTGAGTATACTCAACATTTGATTCAATTTTATTTTCACAGCATCTTGTAAATGAAGCCTCCCTTCTCCTGTTTTAAAAGTAAGAAAGATGGGCTGGGGATATAGCTCAGTTGGTAGAGTGCTTGCTTAGCATGCACAAGACCCTGGGTTCAAACCCCAGCACCACCAAAAAAAAAAAAAAAAGTAAGAAAGATGAGGTTGAACAAAAATAAATGATTTATCCAAGGTTATACAGCTCGAAAGAATCCAACCAAGGTCTGAGCAGCTCTAAGACTCTTTCACCATGGAGGTCAGAATGTAGATACAAGACAGAGGTCATATCGATCTAAATTGCCTTATATTTATGGGTCCAGCTGATCTGGAGTTTGGTCTGCCAGCTCTGGAACAGTTTCACCACTGAAATCATGACTGTGTGTCTGCTTTGGAGACATTAGGGTTTCTGTTAGACAATGTTGACCAGATTCCCCAGCTTATCAAGGAGAAGACTTTTACACACTGATAATAAACTGGCCAGGCCTAAAATAGTCAACCCATCCTCTGCCCCAGACTAATGATGTGGCAAGTACCATCAATGCCCCAGGGTTGGATCAGTCACGCTTAAGCTTGAAGGAAGAACTGAAACTGGTTGTATAGAAGGTAATCCTTTCAATGAATGAAGAATTCATGAATAAGAAGAGTTATAAGAGAAACCAGTCCACAAATCTAACCGAGAAACTCTTTAAAGTCAAGGAGGGGTATCAGGAAACTTATTTATGGAAGGACCTCCTGATCCTTACTTAATGCTAGGGGAATGAATGTCTGGGCTGAGAGAAACTGAAACTGACTTGAATAGATGAAGAAAAGGAAACTGAAGAACTGGAGAACAGTAACCTTGGTGGCCCATACTTGGCTTTCGCACCTGAATGTCTCACTGCCTTATGACGTCCCTCCTGGCCTCACAAGAGCTCCGTGGGCATATCAAGGAATCCCTCAAGACACAATGCCATCCCTTCTCCCTCCCAAAAAATCTATGGGATGATTAACATGTCCAGTGTCTATCTCTAAGGCAGTGGTTGATACCGGAGGCTCACAGTGATACAAGATGGTGGCATTATATAACCTCCTCATCCAGACTACAGCCCCGAAAAGCCAAGGCCATTTGGGGATCAAAGACCACATCCTCATACTCATTCATTCAGTCAGCAGACATTCATGGTTGGGGAAAAGCACTAAGGCCCTCAAGGAGCTGGAGTCCTCTGCTATGCAGAGCCAGCTAGGCCTCAGGAGGGACTGCAGGGAACACTGGAATGCCGTCATGGTACCCAAGGTTGCCACAGCAGCAACCTGGATGGTCCCAGAGTCTCAGGGAAGGCAGGAGGAAAAATATCCCAAAAGAATACACTCTTCCACATGAAGAATCAAATGAATGGGAAAGGGCATAGGAAGGGAATCCGCTCCATCCCCCCATTCCTTCTAGTCATGTCCATCCCTTCCACAGATGGTAACCAGTGTCAGTCATTTCTGAATGGATCACTTGATCCTTCTCTGATTTTTAATTGTTTTTAAGGTTAAGATCAAAATTATTATTGTGGCCTCTAGGATCTTGTAGGGACCCTGATTAGTGGAGAGAAAGCTTATTCATCTCTGTATGTGATGTGAGAGTTCTGACATTGGTTCTTTTCCTGTGACCTCCACTCATCACATTGTGTTGCCCTCCATTCTCTCTGGAATGGCAAGATTGATTGTCTTCTGACTGTAAATTCCACAAAGACTAAGTTCATGTCTTTTCACTCACCCTTCTATGTCAGCACTTAGCCTACCTGCCTAACACAGATGGTGTTCAGTCAGTTGGCTGGGTGGGTGCAACGCCGGAACTAAAGAAACAATATTCCAGCAACAAAGTCAGGTGCATGCTAAAGCAGATCACTTCCGTGACTGAGCCCTGGCCCCTACTGTCCCCAAGGCTCAGAAGGCCCAGAGAGACAGAGTGTAGTTCAGGCCAATGTTAAAGCTTAGCAGCAACAAAGGCTCCCATCAAAGCCTGCTAAGCAGAATAAAAGCAGGACCAAGTCTCTCTGATTCAAAAGGCCTTTGGAAAGTTGTAGGAAATACATCAACAAACAATTGTAAGGAATGAAATTTCACTGATTATGTAGTCTTAACATGACTCAGAGCAATGCCGCCAACTGTTTTCCAGTTCCCTCCCTTTGGAGGTGATGGTATAACCAAGGGTCAGGAGGTGAGGTAGGTGTCCTGAGGGAAATACTTCTGCCTGCTGCCAGCCAGCACCAGGCAATCCAACAGGTCTTGAAAGGTTTTATGAGTCAACCTCAGTCAAGTAGCATCAGGTCACAGCCCTACGTGGAGAGAAAGCTTCTTATCTCTGAATATGTGATGTGGCAGTTTTGACTTTGCTTCTTTCCTTATGATGCTGGGCTTCATGACCTAGTTTCACTCAGGATGGATTTGAACATGGCATAACCTGGAGGGCATAAGAAAGGCCCTCAGCCAGATGAGTCATGGTTGGTGAAGACTGACTTAATGCAACCCAAGGTGCTTCAATGCAAATTAAAAAATAAAAAAATAAAAGTGTTCCCTGAAAATAGAAGGGAAAAAATTACCACCAGATTTAAAGAAGTAGAAAGGTACATGAACTCCGAGCACATGTGAGCTGGGCTCCTGTTGGTAACAAGCCCAGGGCTCTAACACACGTTTGTTTTCTACAAAAATTCATACAAAACTTTATGTAGGGTGTTAACCTCTTTTAACTGTAGACTTTAAGGATTAAGTATGAGAGTGATATTGTTTATAGGAAGCAGAGTTTTTGCTTTATTTTCCGGCGCTTATGTGCTATCAACAACATGCGGCCTGCTGTTTGCTTAGATACTTAGTCTGACAGATGAACAACTGTTATTTAAAAGACCTGCCATGGAAACCCTAGATGTTGTGTGATGAATTGTAAGATTTAACACAGATTCAGTGAGTTTTGCTCTTGATTTAGCTCACTCTCTCTACACAGGAGTAGGTGGTTTAATTCCATCACAGGATTTTCACATTTATTATCTTAGGCCCCTGCTGTCTCCTACTTACTAAGAAGTTCTGCTACTTGGAAGAGTCTGTTTTGAATGTTTCCACTTTTTTTTAGAGTCAATCTCAATTATCAATTCTCAATTGCCCACTCGCAAAGTTTTTGCATGTTAATAAATAAAAGCCAATTTATTGCAGGGAATGGGATGGTTAAAAAACAAAACCAATATGTTAGAAGAAGGAAGGGAATTGTTTGAAATTATCTAGTAACATGTAGACATCAAACTGTTTACTGAGACATGGGACACCCTAGCAATACCCCCTTTCTAGATTGCCTTATTGTTGCTGAGTAGAAATAAAGCACAATACAAATACCATGAATCCCAGTAACAAAGACTCAGGGCATCAGTGCACTAATTCTCACCCAGGCCACTCAGGAGGATCACCCAGAGAGTTTTAAAACCAGAGTAGCCAGCCTGGTACAGTGGCCCACATGTGCCATCCAGTTACTCAAGAGGCCAAGGCAGGAGGATTATAAGTTTGAGTCCAGACTGGACAACACAGAAAGACCCTGTCTCAAAATAAAATTTAGAAAAGGACTGGGGATGTAGTTCAGTGCTGAGGTGCTTGCCTAGTATGCAGGAGACCCTGAGTTCAATCCCCAGTACTGCAAACAAGCAAACAAAGAACAGTACTCAATAGCTAGCCACCCAGAGATTCAGATTTTCGTCTCCTAGGGTAGGATATCAATACTATTCAGAAAGCTCCCCCATGTGATTCCATTCATAGCTAAGACTGGAAAGTGCCCAACCAGGAAAGGAAGCTTACAGGTCAGGAAGGTGAGAGAGCTAGGGAACACAGAGCTGGCATGAAGTCTCCATTCAGCTCAGAAACCACAAAGAAGAAACCACCAGAATTTTCCACCAACCAACCAATTTGATAATGTTAAGCCTCCATGAAACTATTGTGCTTATATCATTTCTACACTTCTGGATGATCTCTCTAAATACTAGATGCAATTTTAACTGCTAACCTTGCATTAAATCCATTTCACAATAGCTATATTTTGCATTATCCACAGCCTCTTCTCCTCATCGCCCTGTGGAGTTGAGCAAGGATTCCAGCACAATCACATTCACTTACTTTAATTCCTTGTGATCCATAGCCAGGGGGACCAGGGGGGCCAGGCAAACCTTTCTGCCCAATATCACCCTGTGAGAAAATGGAGAGAAATTGAAAATAAAGTGTAAGAAGATTGAGGGAGAAAAAAAAATGTAAACATTACTGCTCTCAGCTTCAATTCTTTCTTTAGCCCAATTAGGAGCTTCTTGCTATCCTTAAGCTATTTTATATTTTATTTAAAGCAGTGTTGTTCTAAATATTTTTAGGCTACT